TAAAATAAAGATTGAGTTGCTTTCGCCTTTCATTTCCTTTCTACGGGCTTTCAAACCCTTTGTTCATTCTAAAACCCAGGGGTTCCTCCAGCCTATGCTCTGCCCCCTTATGGCCCTTTATCTCTCTACCCAATCTCCATCCTTGGACAGCTCAGTTTGCTTGTCCAAGCCCTGTCCACCATCCAAGCATGTCCACCACCAGGAGGATAATCTCAGGACAAATGCCTATGAAGTCCCTGGAACGGGCTCAGGGCCATTTAGATAGGGAACTCTGAGGACCGAGGTACCCAAGTGTGCTCTACAAGTAGGGGCTCAAGCTCTGGGCCTTCCCTTGGCTATAAAGATTCCTTGAACTATAGGGAGTTACAAAGCTTTACAAGAGTTAGCATGGGGGCCCTGTAAAGTGGGGGAGGGGAGCAGGGAAGGAGCTCTGGTTGTATGAGACAAAGGATGGTACTGGCTTCCATTTTAAAAAATGGTTATTGGTAGTAGACCATCATAATATCTACCACTTATCAGAAAGTTCTACGTAGTTCAAAATGAACCAACTAGAGGCCTAATAAAGTATTAAAGTATTTAGAGTAACTCAAGAACAACCTTTAAATTTCCCTGAATTATTAAAAAATTGGACATGACTTAAAAGAAAAAAATAAATAATTTTAAGTTTAAATTATGTTGCTAATTAAAACAATTTAGTCTGATCAGAAACTACATAAAGTTTGAAATTTTAAAAAGACTAATCATTTTAAGAGACCCATCCAATAGACTACATGATTAAAGTTTTCATAAGCTCCTGATTCACATTTTTTTGATTTGGGGTAACATTTTTATTGGGGTGAAAAATTGCCTCCACAATTTTAAAGAAAACTTTGCTTTTGTCATTATTTACTACAAAACTCTTAAAAATAAAGTACACAAGGTTGTAATGTTATAATGTATTAGGTGTCCCCTTAAAATATAATTTTTAAAAAAGGGTGTATGATATAAGATAGGAGCCATCCCTCCACCAGAGCTGTATCCAATTTGGAAACATCTGAAAACCACAGAAGAAAGGGAAGGGGGTAGGGTAGGGAGCAAGGGGTGGGGAGAGAAGGGGAGACACTCTTTCCAAAATGATTTTGTTTAGCAACTAAAAGTAAGGGGAAATGATGAAGCATATGAACTGACAATAACTTTCATTTTTTAAAAGAAAAATGTTTAAAAAACTAACTAGAGTAGTTTTCAAGTTGATCCAAAGAAGAATAATCCCAGCTGCCATGAGGTGCTCTTTAACAATTAGGTTCAGGTTCAGAGAAAGAGTAAATTAGACCAGACCACTGTGAATGTAAAACATGAAAAAGCCAATGTGAGCAAAGCAGAAGCAGAAAGCTATTTTAGGGGCCAAAACAGACCTTCTCAGAGGCTTTGGTGTGAGATTTTTATGTAGGAAATTCTTATCAAATGTAAATATCTCTGTGGTATATGCATTCTAAGCTGTTAATTTTTGCCTAGTTCATCTATCTGTGCCTTCTCTGTAGTCACAAACTGCCTCTGGGATGTGCACTGTCAGATGAGGAGGATCTCTGACAGCTCTTTAGGGAGGTGCCACACAATGTTTGTAACTTTTTTTAAGTTTATTTTTATTTTTGACAGTATTACAGCATATAAATTCTTTGGTTAATCTCTTCCTGCCCCCCACACCCCTCCCCTCTGAGATCTGTGGGTCTGTTCCAGGCATCCATGCCTCTGGACCTATTTTGTTCCTGTTTGTACCTTTTTAATCTATAAGGTACTTTGATCTCCCCCAGAAAAGACCTTCTGAAAATATAAAGTCCCTTATCACTTTACCTCAGATGTCAAGCAAAATTTTAAATTGCTTGAAAGATTCTAACAGGTGAATCTGTTGGGGATTTTTTCAGTTTTGTTTCACTATCAGTGGAATAGCTTATTGGGCCCGGAAAACCTCATTGGTTCATAAAAAAAATCCAATCCTTTTAAACAGTGATCATCATTACTTCTAGGTTAGAATAAAATCAGCATTTATATATAAAAATACTCTTACATAGTGTGACATTTTCAGCAATAAAGTTAACATTTATAACTCTTTATTTGTAGTTTAGTTTTGCTATCAACATGTACTTTACTGTATTCTATATACCACAGGAATATTCTGAAAACAGCTTGCAGTTAGCATCTCATAAAATTCTTCTGTTGCCCAGCATGGATGGAACTGGAGAGCATTATGCTAAGTGAAATTAGCCAGTCAGAGATCCCACTAAAAATAACAATACAACAAGTAGTTTGTGCCTTCAGGACAAAGTAAGCTTAGAGACTGAGCAAATTTATTAGATTCCCCTCCAAGTATAACATCTAGCACAGGTTAATAAATGTCCACTGTATATTAAAGGAAGGGGAAACCCCATGGGTAGGTTAGATTAATCACGTTAAATTATATATATGGCATGGAGGGGGTTGGGGGTTAATGGGGGGATGAGGACACATTTGTAATACCTTAACCAATAAAGAAATTAAAAAAAAATTCTTCTGTTACCCAAACTTTGACTTTTTGTTTTAATTCAGGCTCTCCGTCGAGACTTTGAGAAAAGAAATAGTTTACCTGTTATTTCATGTCTGTAATTGAAATTTTACTTTTCCCTAAAATGGACATATTATACCATGCTTCATATATCCCTGGAGAAGTCAAGGGGGTCAATGGAGACATGAGCCAACATTAAGATAGAGGAAGAAAGAAACGTGTAAAACCTTTGAGTAGTTCTCAAAGAAACTTTGAATTCTATAAATCTTTGACAGACTATATATCATCTAATTTAATTCTCACTGTAATCCCATGAAGTAAGCATTATAATTATTGTTATACCTAATTTCAAATGCAGCAACAAGCTTGGATGCTAAAATACTTGTAATTATGAAGTAGGAACAAGAGGATCTGAGCACACACTTTCTGGTTCCAACGTCTTCATGTTCCTTTCTTGGTGGCTTCTGTAATTTCCTTTCTTTGTATTTTTTTTTTGCTTGCACTTTGACGTTTTAAAAGGAATACAAAGCAATACGCTCTATATATTACTTTTGGTGCTGCCCAGCTTACCTTTATATTTAACAATTGATTTTCTCTGGCAACAGCAAGAACCTTGTCTTGACACTTTCCCATTTTTTCACTGCTGCTAAAAGCTGGTAATACACTTGAATTGCCCATACCAGACAAACATTTGCTTTAAAAAAGACTGCAAAAATAAATAAATAAATAAAAATAAATTAAAAAGACTGCAACATTATATGTATATTAAATTCAAGCTCTATAAGCTTAGAGATGTCTCATGATTGCTAGTTTGAAAACTGAAGTTGATCTAACGCGTATTTCCCCTAAACAAATAATGAAATAAAGAAAACACAGAGCAATGTATTTTACCCATCCCACCATCTGGGAAAGCATCATAATGGCATCTAAGTGTTCCCTTCCCAAGAGCCTTACTGCAGCCTTGACCAGATCAGCTATCCACGATTGCATACCGCTCACTGAAAAACTGGAAGCATTAAGGACACTGCCTAACAAACCTTAGCACTTCCCTGGAAACTACTGAGAGACCAGAGCACCTGTTATCACACATTTAAGTAACTCTTAAGACCAACATAAAACATTTGTAAATAAAGACTTGCAAGGTGTGTACACTAAGTTACCTGGTGTTTCTTTTCTAGTTATTCACTACTTAGTAGTCAAGAGAGATTTCCACCTTAAGGTAAGTTTTTATGCCTCAAAACGTTTGTGCTTGAGGTTCTTAAAAATATCAGAAGGTTAATTAAGTACTCCAATAAGCTGGTCAACTTTGTTAGAAAGTACCGTATATGTACCTTTCTAAATACTTTGAATACTTGTGAACTTTTTGTTGAGGTGCATGGGCCTACCTTGGTACTGAATTAGAAATAAAAAGTTTGGAAGTAAATTTTGTTCAGAGCTGCTTCCCACACAAATCTGAATACTTACAGAGATGATTATCCATTATCTTGAAATATCAGAAGGAAAATAAAATTTGCTAAAAAATAATTTATTTTTATTTAACTACTAAGTCATTCATTGAGGGATTAAAGAGCAACAAACTTTTGTGGAGTTTCATTAACACATTTGGCTTTTTATTTTTAGAATATAGTCTACATCTGGATTAAAAAAGTTTTAAATAAATTTAAGACATATAACAACAGTGGAACTCTTCATCATTCTCTATACAACACTGATAGAGCATCAGTTGGTTCCATTTCAGACAAGTCCACTTTCTCATAATAATATTATTTCCACTGGCTGAATGGCAAGCTTCATACAAGCTGGCGCAGTGCCAACTTACACTCACTGGGATGGGGACAGGGTGGCCACAGGACAGCTACACTGTGGAACAGAAAATAATTAATAACAAAGTAGTACCGATTACCCACAGACAGTGCTGTTTGTGCGCTTATCACAATGGAATCGCCGAAGTTTCAGAGCAAGGAGGAGGTCCGAAATACTTAAGGAAGGGCCACGGTTACAAAAAGAAATAGTGCAAACAGGAAAACTGATGCAATCCTAGCAACGCTGCGGCCTCCAACAGCCCAAGCGCGGGGAGGCGGGAGGCTGCTGCGTGCCCCGCCTTCCTCAGCGCCCAGCTCTTCTGGGCGGCGCTCCCAAGTGTGGCAACCCAGTGCCGCGCCCTGGCATGGCCCCTTCTCGGCCCTCTTCCACCGGAAAGAACAGTAAAGAAATTCCAGAAAGGCACAGGCTGAATGCACGGCGTCAGCCCAGTTGCATTCCCACCAAGGTAGAACACAGACCTCCCCTCCCCCCACAGTCCCAAGGGAGGCAAGGAGGTCCTGAGCAACCGCCCTCTCCGCCGCCACCACTTTCTCTTCTTCTCTTCTTTTCTCTTCTCTTCTCTCCTCTTCTCTTCTCTTCTCTTCTCTTCTCTTCTCTTCTCTTCTCTCCTCTTCTTTTCTCTTCTCTCCCTTCCCTTCCCTTCTCCCTTCCCTTCCCTTCCCTTCCCTTCCCTTCTCTCTCTTCTCTTCTCTTTTCTCTTCTCCCAAAAGAGGCCCCCTCCTCCTTGCAGCCCTGCTGCACACCTTTCACGTACTCAGCCCCCCAAATTTGCCGTTGGCCCATCACGCCCTAGAGCCAAAAAGAAAATAGCTTTGAGAAAAGAGAGGGTAAGAGATGGGGCCGGGAAGGGTGCTGGTCAGCGGTGGGCGACCCTCCTCAGTGGCCCCAATTGCTGAAGCCAATCTCCTGCTTGTATCTGTTGGTGAGGATGTTGGCTTTGCGCGTGAGTTTAGAGAGCACAGTGTGCAGCCCGCGCAGGTGGTAGTGAAACTGCTGTTCCAGGTCCTCCTCGGCGGTGTCCGCGCCCTCCAAGTGGCTCAGGTCCACCAGGATGTCCTTGGACTTCCAGGTGCCGCCCTCCTCGCTCCCCGCCGGCTGTGGCGGCTGGTGCAGGACCCCCCACTCGATATCGTTGCGGATGGACTTGAGCAGCATGTAGTGGCTGTACATGTCCTGGG